GGGGGGGGAGGGCTCTGACACACTGCTTTCAGTTCTATGGGTAAAGAAGGGAGTTAAGCTACAGTTACTGCTCCATGGGTGGAGAGGAGGATCTGCGCATCTTCTCTATCCATGACTGGGGCATGACTTTTTTGACTCTGTCTGGATGGGAAAGAGCAAAGATGTCCAGTAATGTCAAACAACAGACCCACATGACAATAAACAAGTTCCTCAGAATCAAAGATGCTTAAAAAAATAAGTCTCTAGCCCTTATAGTTGTGAAGAAAATCTTCCAAATATGAACTAAGGATAAATCAATTGAAAACTGAAGCTGTGTAATCTTCCTGAGTCTGCAAACAGACTAAACAGCTCTGTAAGTTGATAACTGTCTCCACTCAACTCAAATGAGTGTTAACTCTTAAGGCCTGATCTACACACAGTTTGTGTCAGTTATGGTATGATTTTTTACCAGTATAGTTAAACCAGTACAGCCCTTCAAGTGGATGCAGCTGTAATGGTATAAATGTGACTTACACCAATATAACTCATTATCCTTACTGTACAGGAACAGATATATACCAGTACAGAGCACATTTACACTGTATAACGATAACCACGCTGGGGAAGAAGAGTGGCTTTCAATACTCTGGTATAGTTAAAGCAATACAACTTTTGTTTGCAAACAAAACCTAAGTCTAATAACATTTTGAGAACATCATTTTCCAAATGTTAACTGCACAACTGTTTGATTTATATGGACAATTATTGAAATTAGCATCTAAGTGAGAGCAGAAAGAAGCTGGGCTGTAGAACAACCTGTCATCAATTTTTCCCTCACAGATTGAAATTGCTTCAATACATAGCTACCTTCACAAAAGGCTCACTCTTGCAAATGGGTAAGAATGTGAGGAGTCCCCTACAAACTAACAGCGTTGCTCATGTGGTTAAGTATTTGCAGTGTCAGGCCCCATATGTATAGCTACAACATAAGGAGCATATTCTACCCTTAATCTCTGTACAAACTTGGACCATAAATTCTTCAGGGCAGGACCAATGAGGAGTCCGGTGGCACCTTAAAGACTAACAGATTTATTTGGGCATGAGCTTTCGTGGGTAAAATAACACTTCTTCAGAGCAGTGTCTATTACACGTTTGTTACATGTTAGTGCCATGACTAGCACAACAGGACCCTGGCCCCTAGGCACTACCACAATGCAAATAAGAAATAATAAGCCTCCCGCCATCATCGGGAAGTCTGGGGACACATGCAACCCAAGGACCATATCATTCCAGGAATAAGTTTGACACTTAGACATTCGACCTCTCTGGGAAAGGTCTGGCTACTTTGACTTCCCCTATAGGGCGCGGGAAGCCTCCGGGGGCGAGGGACCTGGGACCATGTAGGTGTGTAGGGAGGGAGACGGGAATTCGGGCCCTCTCCAGGGTAGGACGGGGCGGGGGCTCTCTCTGGTGCATGCGGGGGAGGCTCTGGGCAATGTAACAATCTTGGAGAGGGAGCCGGGCTCGCTCTGCTGGGAGATGGAATGAGACACCCCCCAGTGTGACACTATTAGCCGGGGGCGCCGGGTGTAGAGCGGCGGAGGGAACTGGAGCCCGACTCCCCAGGGCAGGCTGCGCCACAGGCTCTCTCTGGTGAGGGGCGGCCCTGGCCACTGAACGATCTGGCACCAGGTGCCCCGCGCAGGGGAGTCGCTGTCACTAACGGGGGGGTGGGGGAGCTGTTGATCTGTGGTTCCAGCAGAAGCGCGGGGACGCGGCAAGAACACATTCCCCACGACGGAGCGCCACGTACCTGGTGCCCCTTGTCCCGCAAAGGCCGGGCGGGGCGGGGCGAGGCGCCGTTACCGGGACACGCGCCACCTCTCCTTGCTGTTTCCTCTCCGCGATTCACGCCGCCGCTGCCAATTTCGAGTTCCACTTCCGGGGTCTGTGGATATGACGTCATCGCGCACAGACGCAGCAAGGAACCCGGAAGTGGAGCTTCTCGCCCTTACGCTTCTGAGCTGCCGCTGCGTCATAGGGGAGAGGGGCGGGGCTTGCTCGGGGAATCTGGGAGGGGTGGGGCCCCTCTTGCGCGCAGCGGGTGAGGGGCGGTGCCTCAGGGCTGGCGGGGTCGTCTGGTCGCAGTCCCAGCTCTTTGCGGGCTTCGGCTCTTGCCACCTTCGTACGAGAAGATGCCATTTTAGGGGTCTGATCGAGGCAACCTACCGGAATCTCAATGAAACTATTGCAGGAGCCAGTGAAATCAGAGGTTCAGACAGAGTGCGCTGGGCGGGTTCAAGCGTGGTCACCCAGAGACTGGCCCTTGAGGACAATCAGCCAGTCACCCCCCAGAGCTGAGGCATCAAAATGGTTTGGCTGCTCTTAGATGACAGAAATACCCATGAGCAATCAGAGCAGGGCTGAGCGCCTTAGCCATTAGGCATAAATTTGAGTTTAATAATTATACTCCACATCAGTACATAGCCACTATATGAACTTCATACCCTCATAGCTCAATGCCTGTACTTTGACCCATCAATCTTTTACGCCCAATCGGGGATATTGCAGATTATGTATTCCTTATGCCACCTGATTTTAAATCAAACTTTGCATCCTCGATAATCTGTACATTATTCCCTGATAACCAGAAACTTCTATGCTCAAACTCTGTTCACTATTTTTTTTTAACATCATCTTAATAAAATTTTTAAGTGGTGCCTCAGGGTCTCAAACGCCATCCGATGGTCCAGGGACATCTACACCGAACACATCACCAGCCTCCGACAGCACCAGGAGGCGTGAGCCAGAGCGACATTGTGAATCGACTATGAGAAAGGGACTGAGAGACTCTTTCTGTTGGACCATATGAACTGGAACCATAAACTCACTGAAGGTTAAATCTCACCAAATGAGGGTCAATCCATCCTAATCATCGTATCCACTCATTATACTCCACACCTCAACATGGCCATTATATGAACAACATACCTTCATATCTCAATGTCTGTACTTTGACCCGTTAACCTTTTACCCCAATTGGGGATATTGCAGATATGTATTCCTTATGCCATCCAATCTTAAACCAAATTTGATAATATGTACATTATTCCCTGATAACCAGAAACTTCTACGCTTAAACTCTGTACCGTTCACTTTTTTTTTAAACATCTTAATAACATTTTTTGAACCATATGAAAATTTAAATATGGCCATTTTCCCCTGTCAGTAATGCACAGCGCATGTCAGAGGGATGCAGTCAGTCAGGGCCTTGCCCAGGAAATGGGACTTGTCACATTTATTCCATGGGTCCTTCCACTTGAATGTTCTGAGTCACGTCACAGTGGGATGGAAGCCGCTGAGGAGCAACAGAGTTTACGATCTCCGTAGAGACCTGTGCTGAGGCTGTGCATGCTGCAGGGGTGGAGTTTACATTTGTGTGTCCAGTGTTACAGCATATAAATCAAATGGATTGTGTTTTAAATTATAGGCAGTGATGGGAAGTATTTTCAGTTGCGTGTATCTTTGTCAAACTTTAACTGGTTGGGATGAAGTTTTATATGCCAGGGATCTGTCTCAGGCTGAATTTTCTCTCTCTCTTTAAGTGAGATATATATAAATATATATTTTAAGTAAATATATATTTTAAACTGTATATAGAGAGAGAGAGAGAGAGAGTAGTTCTAAGAAGCGTAGGGAAAGGACTAATTATATACTCC